AACTGTGTGGAGAATGACACGCAAGGGACAAGACTGGAAAACGTCCTTGATGAAAAAGATCTATTCGTGGCGAATCGAGACACCCTGTCACGCCCCGCTTCGGGCTCTCGTAGGGCCTCAAATATCGACTTAATAATCACAAACTTTGAAATGTTACAGATAATAAACACTGAAAACTCAGGATTAACGCTGGGGTCTGACCACCAAATCATAAATTTGAAACTTGAAATGAGCGTACCACCTGGCATAGAGGGCAGAAAATTCTCGACCAGAAGATACGAATACAAAAAAATCAACTGGAACATGTTCAAAGTGAAGATGGATGCTGAGGCCAGCGAGATGCTGAGTGAGGAGCATGAGGTGGGAAATGAAATAGAGGAAGAACTAAAACTAAGAGAGGCAATATATAGAGGCCTAGAAGCGGCGGGAGCCACGAAAATTAAGCAAACTCACAACAATCAAGGTAGGGCCACTGAAAGCAGAAAAAAAAGAAATAGACAAAGGTGGTAGGACGACGAATGCGATGGAGTAAGGGAAGAGAAAAGGAGAGCCCTTATCACCTTTAACAGAAGACCAAACGAAGATACATGGAACAACTATAAGATATGTGACAGGAGAATGAAAGCTATGGTCAAAAAGAGGAAAAGAGAATCCTGGGAAAAGTTCGCGGAAAGCATCAATCACAGCTCGGACTGTAAATCCCTATAGGAAAATATAAAAGGGTTACAAAAGGGGAGAAAACACCAACAGAATCTCATGACCAACGAGGAAAGAAGTGAGCTGGAACAAGCGGAAGCGGATAAAATATTTGACGATGATATACTAACATCATCAACGGGCGCCGAGATTACTACGCAAGAACAAAGGATAATGTATGCAAGTGAACCAGCCGAAGCATATGAGCGACCACTGAGCACGAAGGAGATCTCGAGTGCCGTAGAAAGAATGAATAAAAAGTCAGCCCCGGGAAAAGATGGAATTGACAATAAAACGATAGGTACGTTGCCCTTCAGTTTCCTAAAGATAATGCTAAGATTGTTCAACAGGATATGGGAAATGGGGGTGATACCACCGAGCTGGAAAACGGCTGCGGTGATCCTCCTAGACAAACCCGGGAAAAAGGCGTTAAGACCGATAGTTCTGACCAACTGTATGGGTAAACTAATGGAAAGAATAGTGAACACCAGGTTGGTTAATTAGGCGGAAGAAAATAATATCATGCACGAGTGGCAAAACGGATTCAGAAGGGGAAGATCGACGATCGATAACCTGATCAGAATAAGAACAGACGTACAGAGTGGCTTTCACAATGGCAGAGCCACACTAGCGGCGTTTCTCGACGTTAAATCGGCATACGACAGGGTCGATCATGGTATGCTCCTGTCAATCCTAATGAAAAAAAGGTGCCCAACAAAAATATTCAAATATATTAAGAGCTGACTAGAAGACAGAACTGTCACGGTGATCAGAAGATTCGAGGAAGATGTGGAGGGAACAATAAAAAGAGGACTCCCCCAGGGATCGGTACTGAGCTCTATCCTGTACAATATCTACACAAGCGACATTATGGAGCGAATTGACGATGAAGAGATAGTAAAACTACAATTCGCGGACGACATAGGCATATACGTTTCGACGGAAGATCAAAGAATAGGTAACGGTAGAAAAATGGAAAATGCCCTTGACAAGATTGTAGAGAACCTGAACAAAATAGGGCTAGGCCTGTCCATAGAAAAAACGGTGATAGTAAATTGATCAAGATGGCGAAGAACAAGGAGCTCAGACCACAGAGCCAACCAACCTGTAGAAGTAAGGGTGGGAAATACTAGAATAACAGAATCAAACGAGGCAAAGTTCTTGGGGGTTATGTTTGATAAGAAATGCTACTTTAAAGAGCACACTAGAAACGTTGAAAAAACAACTAGGGACAGGTTGCACATGCTGAGGTACATCGCGCATATCGCGAGGGGAGTCGATCAAAGAATCATGTTGGTACTGTACAAGGCGCTCGTGAGGTCGGTGGTCGAGTACGGGGCTATGATATATACCGATGGCAGTGTTAACAATGTAGATAGAATGAATAAGATACAGAATGCAGGGATGAGGGTAGCGATGGGATATAGAATATCGACTCCAGCCAATGTCATGCACGTGGAAACGGGTATAATGGCGTTTAGAAATAGAATAGAGTTGCTAACGGGTAAATACCTCCTTAAAAAAATAGGAAACCGTAGGGGCGCATTCGTCGAATGGCTGTACGAAGCTTGGGAAGGGTTCAGTAATAGGTTGGAAAACAAATGGACTTATGTGATAAAAATTTTCAGAAAAAACATAGACCTGATGGAATCAGCGAGGGCTGGCGCGGAGCGTCCGGTGGTGGAATTGGCGGCCTGCCCTGAACCCTGGATAAAATGGAGAGCGGGTGAGATGATGGTATTACCGGAAGCGGCCCTGATGAGTGTCCCAGCTGAAACCAGACAGCGGTACGGCTCGATAGACGAGGAGATTTGCCGAGATGTAAACACCGATGGCGAACGAGAGGAGCCCAGGCGGTGGTTGTGCAGCCGTGGTGGTGACGAAACAGCAAAATAACTGGGAGGAGAATACGTTCAGCATGAACCCTGGAGCCACAATCTTCACTGCGGAAGCAGTGGCGGTGGCGGAGGCCCTCAGGTTGTACAGTCAGTCCGGTGATGGTAGAAGACTGCTCGTTTATAGTGATTCTGCGAGTGTGTTGAAGGTACTAGAAGCTGCAAAAAACAAAGATATTAAAGACATTGTTAAGATGAAAAGAGGAGAAATTGTGGCGAAAATTATGAAAGAATTATGTGAAATATACTTAATGAAAAACTTACCGTTGAATGAGACTGTGAACCGGAAAAAAAACGCCAGTGGTATTTGTGTGGGTGCCTGCGCATAGAGGAATCGCGGGTAATGAGAGAGCGGACGCGGCGGCCAAAAGGGCCACGGAACAAACCCCGAATTGTGAATACGCGTTACCGTACGAAGACATGCTAGTGAATCTGGTAAGGAATGCGTGGAAAGAGTTCGCGACGGAAATGAGAAACGAAGCGCGATACAAAGATGTTAAATACTTTAGCGAAATAGATACGAACAAACAGCGCCGAAAACCGTGGTTTGAAAAATTCGTTACCCAAGACAGAAGGACAATATCGGTGCTCAGCAGAATAAGAGCCAACCACTACAACCTGAGCGAGTCACTGGCGAGGAAACACGTGGTGGAGGACCATGGATGCGACTGTAGAGAGCACGTGGAGGACCTGGCTCACGTCCTCTGGGAATGCGAGAAGTACGATCACATCAGGGACGAATTCGTAGCGAAGATGCGAGAAAAGGGTTCAGCGGCAGACCACAATACCAAGACCTTGTGAGAAAAGAAAGACCGGCTGTATGCGTGGCGGTTGCGAGATTTCTAATAAAAACGGGAAGAATAATTTAATACGCGTGCGTGGCATGATGGAGTCGCTATTCTCGGTAAAACCGGCTCTAGCGGGTGTGAGTATGAGAGAGAGAGAGTGTGAAGCGAGAAAGAGGATGAGGGATGGAGGCGGCGCCGGCTGGGGGCGCCTGCCGCATGGCGGGTAAAAATTAAATGACAAAGTGGAGGTTTATAATCTTTATAAGAAAAATAGAGAAGCGAAAGTAAAATGGTAGAAATAATAAAAGACCCTGGCCCAAAATAGCCGACTACCGCGTGCGGGGGCCCTGAAGCCGGGTGTCCGTCCCTAGGATGAGTGGAAGGATGAACGACCTGTAAAAGAAAGAAAAGAAAAGACAAAATCATACCCCTTTTGGGAATGCGGTAATGGCGAACTAAACATGTCGAGCATGTAAACGGAATCAGACCTTCAAGGCAACAGAATAGAGTCAGCAAGGAATTAAATGATATTGACAAAGTAGAGTAAACTAGAAGTTCAAAGAAATAGTAGACTTGAAGGATGGTTACCGATAGCTCGGCTGATAAGGAGTAAGGAAGGATAACTGCAAGTATGATGGTGTGAATGGAGTGTGTGGGAGTGAAAATGTGAAATACTCAAAGTAAGGAAAGTATGTAAATAAATTTCTAACAATAGTAATAGAATAATCAAATGTAAACTAGGATAGGCATTAAGTTGTAAAATTGTAAAGAAAAGATATCTGTAATTCAAATAAGAAGCGCTGATACACTTCGATACAAAATACGATAGAAAACATGACTATAGAAACGAGGGAATACATGGATACAAAAGTATGGAACGAGTGAAAATGTAAAAGTATGGATTAAAAACAAAGCGAAAACATGTAAAAATAAGATAAAGCACAAAGAGGAAAATTAGCTTTTCAAAATGCGCGGGAGTTTTGGCCCTAGGCGCGGGCACGAGAGCGTTCGTTGGGCAACACGGGGACGGAAAAGTCCCCAAAAATGCCAACCCCTTGCCTTCGGGGGTGCTAAAGCACCCGAAAAGCAAATTGGGAAAGTTTTGATTGATTGATACCCCCTGTGGCTCGGGGAGCTTAGAATACGGCCACGGTATCCCCTACCTGTCGTAAGAGGCGATTAAAAGGGGTCACACAGACACATACGCACACGTACACACACATACACACCGATTCGGACAAAAGATGAGCAGACTCTAAAAGTATGGACTGAGTAAGATTTAAAAGTATGGACAGGTATAAGTGACGAAATTTAAAAATGCGCGGGGTTTGGTGTTGGCGGGCTGCCAGCACATCCCCGAAGGCGCGTGGCCGATAGGGTTCATTGCGCAATACGGGTGTTGCAAACCTCGCCTGTATGTATGTGTGCAATATCGAGTGAATTTAGCTGCAAGCTTGTAATCACAAGCGTTGAATGAAATGTAATATGGCGACGATGCCATAAGAGTATGGTTGCAGCATGTCTGCATTATGTTATATCAATGCTCATAAATTAGGAGCCAAAATTCAAAGGAATAAACAAATAAAAGATAGGACACTGTAAACCTTTCAGCGCGGTGATCGTGTTGAGAGAGAGTTGGAAATCCGGAGAAATAAGACTGTCACACTTGAAGTTTTTAAGAAACTAATTTATTGCGGGCCGTATCTAATTCGTTACTCTTAACGAAAATCCTGTTGGTTCTTGAAACTGTTGAAGTCTCTTCGACATCCTGCTTATATACAGAGGGTAGTAAATTCTCTTAAGGGTTGCCTTGGCTCGCTAGCGCGAGACCTTTTTCTCTTTCGTTCTCTCTGGATCCCACGCTTTCTCTTAGCACGTGTGCATGGAATCGTTCTCGAGTCTTGGCGGGGCACCACCATCTTTCACTCGCCCAAGGGTGGACCGAAGCCAGGGAGAGGGACCGCCTCCGGACAGGGATGGGCTCCTCCACCATTGGGCCAGGGATGATCCTGAGGGAGGATTCAGGATCTAGCGAGGAGGGGATGGCAGCCTGCATACATTTTTGTCAAAGTTATAGTCACGAAATAAAGTCGTATAAATTTTTATTTCTTACGCAAAGGTGTTTTGATTTATTAAAAGCCGCGCCGCGAGCAGAGCGCTTCAGCGCTCCACGGGCACCTTACCCACGTTCGGCAAATTCTAAATATCCCTAGAACACTAAATCCACACGCAACAGGGGACAGATAAGTCCCCAAAAGCGCCGGCCCTTAGGGGCGAAATTAGTGAGTTGAGTTGATTGATTGATTGATTGACAGGTATAGGTTATAGTGAAAAACATGTGGAAATTGAATGCAGTTACTTTCTTACAAGATATATCTGGAAGTATGTTTAAGGTAAAAGAAATATCAAATCTTACTTTCTTCAATACATTCTTTATTCCAAATTAATGTTGTTGAGTAAAATGTATCAATATATAATAATATGATTTATTCTTCTTTATTTTCAGCATTTATTCAGACATTGATGAGGGAATTACAACCAAAAAATTATGGAGTAGAATAGTTGAATAGTTACATTACAGAAATTAAACAGTGCGGAATGAAATACTAGGGCAAATGAGAAAAACGTACTCTGAAAACAGATGCAATTACTTTCTCGTAGGATATATAAGGAAATATGTTTAAAGTAAAAGAAATATTAAATCTTATTTTTTTCAATACATTCTTTATTCCAAATTAATATTGTTGAGTATAATGTAGCAATATATAGTAATATGATTTCTTTTTCTATATTTTCAGCATTTATTCTGTTAGTTTATCTGGAAACAATCAGGTAACAAAAACAAGTCCAGTGTCAAAGGATACGGACAGAGTCATGGTTTATACAACGGTCTTTAGGTTGGGGACCGATGGGTGTATAGAGTTTTCCAGGAATGGCCTGAGCAATAAAACTCCGGGCATTTCTATATTTAGTTTTCTAAGTGGATCCAATAGGGGTTTTTCCGCTGACAACTCCTCACTTCAACTTTAGTTTTCAAACTGTGCAGACGTCTTCTGAGTGTTCATTTGAGAAATAAATTCATTTTGTGTTTTAGAAACTGTATCATTATTTTTAGTTTAATACCCATTTCCAATATATTCTGTCACGTCCTGTGACGCATTCTTGGAACCCTTATTTCGCCATCCACATTCTTTAAACTCTTATTTCATTATCCGAATTCATAGTTCCGAAAAGTCTGAGTGAGCAGCTCGCTCGGGTCAACGTATCGCAAGAACGCTGACAATCCGAACGAGGTGGTTCACCCGAACTGACAACCAAACGATTGACCTCGCTCATCAATATATAATAACGCGACCAAGCCCGCTCGCGACAGATCCAATATCGCGCAGAACCAGTACAGAACCCGTGTAGACAGAACAGTATAATTTTATCAACCCCAGAATTTGTAGTGATCAGATCACCTAAGCGATCCGCGAAAGCTGTTCGGAATCGGCCAGTTCGTCTAGCGAAAATCCGAGATACCAATTCTAAGACGCGCACCTAACTCCGCGAAGTACGACTCTGCTACGGAACTCAGGGATCCGACAGAGCAACCTCATCCGTAAAGCGCGCGCAAGTTAAAGGTTGTACTCGAACCAAATAAACATTTGTTGTGATCAGAAGTGCGTGAACCTCAATTAGACCATCTACCCTACCGACTCCACTAACCAAGACGACTCATCTCTACAGGTATCCGCGCCCAGCGAAAGGTAAGTAAGAACCCCTACCAAATCAGTAGCTTAGAGATAATTATACAAGTGCGCAGAGGACTCGGTGAGAGAGGGGACCCTGCGACTTCACAGTGGTTCCGGTACGAATCGAACGCCAACGAACGCTACTAACCTGTAATATAGGGTAGACTCAAGAAAAAAATCTAGCTCGAGAATATAAATCTTTGTCTGCAACCTTAGAAAAATCCAAGTCATTCACTTTCGAATCAATTTATATACAACACAAGAATTTATTGAAATACTGCTACGAAGCATACATAAAAATCTCTTAAATATAAAACGAACTCATTTACCCTCTAAATAATCACAAATAATGAAAATTTCAAATGAATAATAAAAATCTTAAACCAACGGATAACAAAAATACTACGGACGGAAACAGATTAACAAGAAGCAGGACACAAGAAAATCCTGAACTTAAAAGTATTGTAGAAGATCGTAATTACGCGTCAGCCTTTTTACAAAGCCGTAAAACACCGCGCTCACCAACAGAACGAAGAACATTTGACTTCACACCAGAAGTCACAGCCGAGGCGTCAAACGCGAATACAAATCTAGGTGCAATACCCAGAACAAAGAATGTTAAAAATCTAACAGTAAACACTAACCAAACGGAAAACGGAAGTGCCAACTGGCAAAACAAGAGTATAGGATTTACAATTAACCCAAGTAACGAAGCAGATAATAACAAACAAACAGAACTTTCGCATCCCCACTAATCCGAATAAGTCCCCAGGATAACAGAAACAATACCGAAATACTAAACGAAACAATAAACAACAGCTGCAAAAACGACATATCCCTACTCGAAATTGAAGGAATCACAGAACAACCAAGCCTAATAGGAAATCTGGACGGAGAGAATAGCGAAGGAAATTTAACACTCACCTGCGTAAGTCCGAGAAAGAAAATGACAGACCAACAAATTCAAATCCAACCTCTAAGATTACCCTTGAAATACGTAGCAAACCTAGTACCCGAATTCGACGGGAAAAATATTTCAGTTACCGAATACGTTGAAAAAGTAAAACATGCTAAAAACATTATAACACCCGTAGACGAACCAAGCCTAATCCCGATCCTAAAAATTAAATTAAAAGGAGAGGTATACAAAGCACTAATAAACTCACCGATAAATAACGTAAACGATTTTATTCAGGCAATAAAGTCATTATTCCCATCCACCGAAAATATACACAGTTTATATGGAAAATTAACAGAACTAACACAAAAACCAGGCGAAACAGTACTTAGCTACGGGAATAGATTACAGGAACTAGTAATACAAATTAAAGACTTAAAAAGAATGGAAACAGGCATAAACCAACAAATCATACAGGACTTTGACAGGACGATTAAAACGACGCAGTAAAAAGCTTCAAAAATGGGCTAAAGCAGGAAATTAGAATAGAATTAAAGCAGAAAGACGATTTAAACGTCCTTATACAAGAGGCCATCGACATCGAATCAAGGTTAAAGAAACAAAACATGCTGAGAGGCGACTCAGCTAGCGTACTATGTAGCCTCGAGAAATACGACGCAAACCCAGTAACGTATACGTGTCAAATATGCAAAGAACTAAACCACGAAGCATTATTTTGCAATAACGCGGCATGTGTATACTGCAAAAAACAAAGACCACATATCATACAATTGTAAATTCGCTAGAAACAAGATAGAGCTTATTTGTAAATATTGCAACACCCAGGGACATTCCATAGACGCATGTAGAATGAATAGATCAAAAGGAAATTATTGCCAATATTGCCAAGTAATGGTCACACGGTCACCCAATGCCCATTCATAATTGAATACGAAACATGCTGGAAGTGCAAAGGAAGCGGTCACGATCCAAACACCTGCACAAGATTCCCAAAAATTACGGAACTCTGCGAAATTTGTAATAGTAGATACCATACAGCCGAAAATTGCCCAACACCTATGTGCCCACTCTGCAATAAATTGGGCCATACTATAAAACACTGTCCATTAACGAAAAACAAAGACTCCAATTGATCATTGCACAAACTGCAACGAAGAAGGCCATGATGCAGAAGAATGTGTTACGTCCCACCTTACGGGTGGTTATTTCACTATTACTATGTTCTGGGTTCTGCCGATCAAAACGCTAAAGCGTGCCTTGACCTTCCTCGCAGGTAGTATAGGAGTACAGGATGGGGCGTTCAATTATTAAAGATAGACATGTATGGGTCTTCAATAGATATATATATTCTGTCTCTGTTATTACATACCCTTCGCTGACTTCGGGTGTTGTTCGTCACTCGTTCGTTCTCGTATTCACTCGCTGGTCATTCACACTGAGAGTCTCGGTTTTCGCTTGCTTCGCGGTTCGGACGATACACTAGACTCGCGACGCGTGGCTACGACTCGACCTTGGAGATACAAGCGGTTGGTGGTGGTCCTGCACAGCACACGGGTGCACTCCTGGACTTGGTCCAATTATGGGTCTGTTATCTCAGACCACGGCGATACACTCGTGTTGAACCGTCGGCCGAGCACTTCGTCGATGATCTTCCGGGTTTCGAGTTTTAGCCTTACTCGCGAATCTACTGCGGGTCACGAACGGACAGAACTTCGTCTCTGCTTCACGGTATCACGGAACTGGCGTACCTGCGTTGTGGCGATAACTTATACTCCCAAAAGGGGAGTAGGTCACGCTCTTTGCTTGCGAAAACCTGCAAGCAAAGGGTTTTCGCCATCGCATTCCGCGAGTTCCCCGATTTCGTATCGCGGGCGTCGCTAAGCGAAAAAAACGCTGATGTTACGCGGATTCCAAAGCGAGACCTCCTTGAAATGGCGAAAGACGAAAATGGGTTATAACTAGGGACGTAACACCCCCCACGCTAGACACAAAATGCTCTCGAGAGTGCATCTTGTGTAAGGTGTTTACGTCGTTCGCCACCCTCATACGCTCAATCATGCATTCACAGAGTATAAATAATGGTGAAAATCTGTACAATAAAAGGTAGCTGTTCAAAATACAAAGAAAAAGGTGCCGAAGATACTACAACGATGCGCAGCTGTTGAAAATATAAAGAAAAGAAAATATGTGTATGAAGTGTCGCAGATATGTACAGTTTTGTAAAGTGTAAAAATTTTTTTTTCTTTTTTTTTTTTTTTTTTTTTTTGTAGTGGCCACGGGGCACACTCCCCCCCCCCCCCCCCCCCCCCCCCGCTAGACAGTCGATAATTTCGAAATTGGTGCCGAGTGAAAAAAATCTACGTGACCATAAAAGGATTGATTTTGGAGTGTGGTGTCTACGGATACGCTGAATTAGACATTCCACGGTGGCTATTGAAAAATTGTCGATGTGGCTCTAATCGTTGCTATGCTCCCGGCAAACCCGGTGGGGACTTAGTGGTATATATACTGGTCGGTCGAGCGGTATCAGTATTTGAAAAATTACTTTACTGTCGAAATGTATGCTTGCATTGATTTGTTTCCGTCCATGCGGGAGTTGTTCCGTACCTGGGTAAGTGGTTTGCAGTCTTATTATGTTTCCTCTCTCTCTCTCTCCCCCTTTTTTTTTTTTTTTTTTTTTTTTTTTTTTTTTTTTTTTTAATGGGTCTTGGTGTTTTGTTGTAGCGGGCAGATGGGACGTACGAGATCTATCCGGGCCAAATTAATATCCGGTACCGGAAGGCGGTCCAGCGATGGCGAAAAGAATACCGCCAGTACCTTTTTGATTTATGGGACTGGGATGAGGACCACATGTTAAACATCGCACCCCTTTTCGGCGACTTGTAATTTAGTTAAAAATATATGTGTCTAATCATCTGAGTTTGTCTTTATTTTCTTTTATTTGTCCTTTTGTTCGTTCCAATCCTCATTGTTAGTAAAAAAGGATTGTTTTGGTCTTGAAGGTGGGATTTGTTGTTCCATCTTGTTGTTGCGTTTCTGGTGAGTCTGCTATTTGCAGATCAGAGGGCCACGACGTTGGGGTGACGGTCGGTCGGCTCTGCATTTCTATGTCTTCCGGCGTGAATTGGCGGCGTCTGGGTTGGTTGTCGATCCTGGTTTGTTTTCTGTAGTATCGGTATCCTATTACCGCTGTTATTATTGCAATAACAACGCTTATGGCTGATAATGAACCGTAGGTGACGTAGGCCGTGTGGGTTAGAGCCCGGTGGTGTTGTGCTATATCCTGCGCTTGATTGTCTATTTCTTGCAAGGTTAGGAGGTTGTCTGGGTCTATATTGATAGGTGTGAATTTTGGCTGATTTTCTTGGAGTTTTGTCAGGATTTGAATATGGTGTGGGGTTAAATCTGGGATGAGGTTCGATATATTGAGGCCGAAACTTGGTT